CAAAACCTTGCCACGCAAACCCATTACACCACTGTTACTTGTTTACAGTGTAAGTTGAAGTTTAATTAAGATGACTCCTTGAATTAAAGTATGCTGGGGATGGGGGATGTTTCCAGCAAGAATATTCTGTTCTTTCTCCTGAGTTAGCCTCCTGGAGCTCCCTGTGACAGTTTCTCTCTTCCCTTAACTCTGATTCTTGCAGCGTTATTTTGTGGCAAGGCAGCAGTTAGACTGTGGAGGTGTGGTGGTGCTGCCTGATGTGTTGGACAGTGACATCTCCTTGCTTCCCTGGGTGTACCCCTCTTGTCTGGATCCTTGTTTTGGATTGTAGGGCATGCTTTTCCTTTGAGCACTGACTCTTGTTGGGATGGAGCAATGGCATGTGCCATCTTTCTGGATTTTTTTCCCTTGACTCTTGACATGTAAACAGGACGGGAGTGGAGATGTGTAAGCCAGGTCCCTGATTCAGATGATGGAGGGACTTGCAGGACGTGATGCGCAGCATGTCTACTAAGTTTTGGTCAGCAATATTGACAAGTTGGTACAAAGTAGTTCTGGTGAACTTGAGGCAAAGTTTATAGTTTAGCATGAGACCAGGAGGATACAGATACAGAACTGAAGGGTCATTCTAGATATAATAGGTACTGCAGTGCTGAAGGAGTTGCAAAGGTAAACTAATAATATGTAAGGTGACTCTGGAGTGGCAATGGCCTACCATGAAAAACAAGTCCAGCTTTTTTACCTGAGATAAGAAAAGGCAGCCCAAGTTAGGAGTTTTGAAGAAGAACTGGGAGATCTTGCTTTTACCAAGATGTTTACAACTGGAATCTTGTTAAGTGGAAATGATTGACAATGTTTTATTTTCAAGGTGTTTATCACATTTATTTTGAAATGTATGTTTGTTGAGGTGTTGGAATCAGCATGTGGGCACAATTTTCATGGTATTTCTTTTCATTCTAGTGCCCCTTGGCTCCGAAGACAAGATTATATGGAACTAGCAAATAGCTTGGAAGAAATATATGTGTAAGTTAGAGACTGTGGAGTAAAAGGAGACAATGTATTTTCAGTTTCATGCCCTGCTCAATACTTTTGAAGTACCTGCATGAACTAGTAGTTGTGAAGTGGTTGCTGCAGTAGCCATAAACCAGCAAGTTTCTTTTATAAATCTTACTGTTAAACATACCGTGTATTTACTAAGCATTTTGCAAGAACACATTGTGTTCAACTGACAGATTTCTTTTGTATTGTTTAGACCTGGTGTTCTGTAAGGGTAGAAGTCTTAATTTTGACTCCTAATAGAATAAACTCCCTTTAGAATCTATGAGACTGCTTATGAATTGGTGCTATGAAGTATGAGATTTCTGCATCCATTCTGCATTTGCATGCTAAACCCCAGGATGTGAAAACGTTTGTTCGTGTCTTAGAGCATAAGTGGCAAAACAATTTTTCTTAGAAGATAGCTAAGGGATAAGTAGATTTTAAAACAAATTAAACACATGTAGAATCTATTAACTAGACTCTGTAACCTAGTGGACTGTTTGTTATCACAGTGCAGCTAACAACAATGCATAATGAATGCGTGAGAATAAATGGAACATTTAGAAATACTCAAATTGTGTGTTTTTGAATTGCTGTGAAATTGGGGTAGTAAATGTAGTAATTTTATATGGCTTATTTAATTCTTTCAGTTCCCAGAGATAATATAGACTAAATGAAATGAAAATATGTCATAAGGAAGCACAGTCATGCACAAAATATTGAATTATGAACATGCATAAGAAGTGTTTTTTAATGCCATAGAATAAGGAAGAGAGCACTTAGTTTGCATGAGGTTTTTTTATCTAATTACTCAGTTACTTTGATTAACTGGGTTTCTTATCTAATTAAGCAACAGCTATTTTGAGCAAGTAAAATTGAATTTGAAGTGTTGAAAAGGCACAAGGATTTTAAGTGAAAAGTTCTATGGGATCATATTAACCACGGTTGTTCAGTGGAGCAAAAAGGACAGAGATTGTCCTTAACTCTGTCCAGATTCCTAGGGTTTGCTGGAGTCTCTACCAGAGGCAGAGCTGCTGCAGGTGGTTCTTCAAATATCTTGAGCAGCTGGTGCAAGTTGCCACATGAGGACTGTGAGGAGAAATAGCATGGTTGTGAAGCACTTTTTCTTTTTTCTTTTTTTTTTTCTTTCCCCCTGCAGTCCTGTAAATCCCTAAATTGTGCTAGTCCCTTGCAGCTCCATTCTGTGTCAGTTGCTGCTCAGAGCCCTTGCTGGTCTTCTCTCATTTTTGTTTGTTTAGCAGGAAATGACTGCATTTGTACTTTAGGCCATATATGTCATTTTAGACTGTTTAAAAACCTTCTGAAGTAGTCACTGATGTGCACAGTGTTTGTAAAACCCTTTTATCTATCCAATGTTTAAGCAGTTGTCAGATAAACAGAGGTACTCTGCATCATTTACATTGTGTGTTTTACCAGGGTTCTAGTCCCTAGTGATCTAAATTGTATAGTTCTGCAGTCTAAACCAGTTTGAATTATACTGTCAATCACTGTGCTTTCTTATGGAGGTGGAAAAGGTGGATAGTTATAGATCACAAGTCTGTTTTGGGAGACGTAAAGTTCTTAAAAATGTAGCAAATGTTTGGTTTTGGTTTTTGCTGTGGTTTGGGTTTTTTTGTTTGCTTCCCCCCCAGATACTCTTCTGGTAAGTCTTTTATTCAAGAGAAAGCTTTGTTTCATGACTTGCACAAAAGTGACAAGAAAAATAGCAGCATAGGAAGCTAACATTTCAGACTAAGTGTAATTTGCAAATAGGCAGAAACTGAAATTGGGTGATAGCAGAAGAAATTGCACTTTACTTGCACAGAACAAAGAAATCTCGTTGTCTAATCTTTCTCATTCCATTATTAAAACAAATATAGTTCATATATTAAAGTAGTGCTTCTGTATGATAAGAAGCAGCATGAAATCAGGGCATCGAATTGTTCTGGAGTCTGTCCAGATTTTGAAGGCAGTTACAAGTTCATAAATTCCTTATTTTTGCTTGAATATTTTTCTTAAAATATGTGTATTTGTTTGAATTTTTGGTTGTATTCAGCAGCAGTACTGTATACATTAAGCAAAGGAAGAGTTTAAAAATGTTGTGTTGTCACTGGTATGTACTTATGTGGTGCCCCAGATGGTGGCAGTAAGAATGAAATTAGTGAGAAACCATGAGTTACCTATGGCCCTAAATCTTTTGTTTTGCTTTTGAGGCAAACATGCACAATGTGTAAACATAGTAAAATATAATTGTGAAGGCAACTTTTCAGGACACCATTTAAAATATATTTTGAGTTGTTTGTGTTCTGCTGCGCATTGAGGCAGCATTTCTTGACTCTCAATATGCACATAAAAAATGTGTTCATCCCATCCTTCCCCAGGACCTTGATACACACCTGTGCCTCTTGACTAAGAACTCTTAGACCTAAATCCTTACCTCCCTGTCCTATAGGACTGCTTGTTACCCAGACTCTGGCATATCAGTCCAATGCTGCACTGTGTCTGCTGCCACTGACCTGCTATCACAGTCCACTGAGATCAATGTCTGCTGTGTGTGCAGTGATTGCTTAGGGGGAAGAGAAGTGGGGCTCTTCCAAAGAAGAGCCCCCCTCCCAAAAGTCCCATACAGCCACAGAGCAGCTGAGGGAGCTCACCGCTGGCAGTTCAGTACTTTTTGTAGAGAAAACTGATTCAGAGCAAGCTCTAAGACTAGACTTCCTAGCTTAGTATTTTTTTGAAAATACTGAGGACTGTCCAACTTCTCACAGTTGCTTTCCATCTGCTTAGTGGCCAGAAAGTTTCTGTCAGTTGCCTGTTTTCCTCCAGCATTGGTGCTTTTAATGTTAAAAAATAAAATAAAAAAATCAAGACAAGTCTATAATGATGTAGATACAGTGTGTTTCACCCGGTGAACTACTGAGACAGAACTTTCCACAAGCCTGTCTTAAGCTCTTTATCTCACTAGATTATAATGTTCTATTTCTGAAATCTGTATGTTATTTGGTGTGCTTGCCGAGTGAAATCCACAAAAATGTTTCTTCATTGACTGTGAGTTTTTAACTTCCAGACAGAACTTTGGTGAAAGTATACTTTATTTATGGGTGGAGAAGATACGAGAAGTTCTGATGGAAAAGGCACAGTCATCAGATACAGGTACTTCAGAAAATACATGGGCTTTTCAGTTTACTTCTTGTTCAGCTGCAAAGTTAGATTTCATTGCCAGTTAAAGCTTTGTGTCCAGTTTTGTATTGGATCTAAATAACAAAACAACAGTCTCCAGTATTATGGCTTATTGTTTTACAGTGATAGCTTCCCTTTTTAAAAAGCAGTAGGGGGAAAAAAGGAGGGGGCTGGCCTCAGTGAGCTAGAACAAGGTCCTCAGCTCTCTGAGGAATTAAATTACTTGCATGAAAGCAGAATGCTGCACACAGGTACATTATGCGTTGTGCTCTGTTCTGCAAAGGAATTATTCATATCAGTAATTAATTTCTGGTGTTGAGTGCACTCTTGGAGGATTTGGATTAGCATCAAGAGAAGATAAACTTAGTGGAATATGCAGACAAATGACCGAGTATTCCATCTTAATTGTATTTTACTATATTGGGATGAGAAGTACATCATCACTAGAGTTGCAGTGATTCTTCTGTTGTTGCTCTTACAGTGACAGAGTTTGTATAAAATCACAGTTGTTCTTTCAAAAAGTGGCGAGATTTTTTGTGGGTTTTTTTTTGTGCATTGAAATGCTGAACTGCTATGAAATGCGTGAGTGACATGCATGCTTGTACTTGTGGCAAAAGTGAATAACTTCTATTTACTTTTTCTACGTCATGGATGTTAGCTTAGTCCTGTGAGGAATAAAAGACTGAAGAGGTGAAAAAAACCCCAGTATATTTTCAGTTCTGCTTCATGATGCGGTCTAGTTTTTAGTCTTTGGATAAACTGCATTTTGTTACTACATCACAGACATTTGAAAAGTCATTTTCCATTGACATGAGAGGAGTGGACGCTGAGAAGTGAAAATTTTACTGACAATATTGGAAGTTTGTTGGGTATTTTGACGGCAACCTTGTGGCTTCTCCTTAATAGATCTAATGATTTTTCTATGCCTTTTGAACATGCTATATCATCCCTCTGCTTTTTTTATGGAAAAACTGCATCATCGCCACATCATAGGAAATTAGATTGTGATATATTAACTTGCCTGTATGGTAGGTCCCCTCTTAAATCCAGTTGCAAGAGCACTAACTATGTGTGATATTTACTCTTTTACTATTGACTATTATTTTTCTTATGTCCTATGCATAAAGGAAAATAGGATTTTGGGAATCCCAGAGTACATGTCCAGAGAGAAGTTTCATATATAATGATTTTATGACCTCTTGATATAGCACTGAACAACAGGTCTACGTTTTTCCCCAAATGACTGATAAATGACTGGAATTCTCATGAAACATCAGATTATTTTGATGTCTAAATTCAGATTAAATTAATATTAATGTTGTAAATGTTTAATGGGAATAGTAAACATTATTGTTCTTTTCTTCTTAGAAATAGTGTTAATCAGTATTGAAACAGGTTGTGCAACGATCCCATAGCATAAGTATTGTATTCCTAGTTCTAAGGAACCTTTTAGTTAATACTGGACTAAGAATTTCTGGGTTTTGTTGTGATTAACGTTACTATTCTGCATTTCATAACTTTTAATGGCAAACTAATTTGAACTGTGAAGCCAGAGATTTTTGAGAAAAATAATTTGGAATTTTTTCTCACTTGTCTAGCAAAAAATTTTGTAATCAATTCTACTATTTATGTCTTAATAGAACCAGATATTAAGAAAACCAGTGAAGAAGTTGATGAAGGTGATGGAGATGATTTCCTCCTAGACTATCAGCCCGTTCAGGAAGATCCAATTAAAATATTAGATTTCATTACGTCTGAAAATCAAGAAGGTAAAAAATACACCCTTGTTAATTCTGATGAAATAATTTTGGAGAGGCCTTAAGATTCTGGTTTTCTACTCAGCTTTTGAGTAAAACTAATAAAATTAAAATCATAATAAAGATTAATAACAGTTGTAAAAACCATGTTTTTGGTGGTTCTGTATACCACGTACTTCACTTTGACAAATCCCTTTTTTAAAGTTGGGACATCCCTTACTTAACTAGCCCTATACATCGTTTCAGTACCCTTGAAAGAAAACAAACGCTTCCTTGTTTGTGATCAGTAGATGAAGAACTGCCATCCATACGTCATGGAAACCCCATCACAGATCGAAGGAGTACTTTCCAGGCACATCTGGCTCCTGTGGTGACACCCAGACAGGTTAGTAGCGATCAATTCTAGTCTTTTTGTCTGTGCTTTTGACGAGTTACTACCGAAATACTTGGGATTAGCCAAATATGTCTGTCTTTGCGTCTCTGTGTGCTAATATTGTCTGAATAGTCATCAGTGTCTCGCTTGCACTATCAGCTAAATAGCTCTGAATACCAGCTCTGCAGTGCTTCCTGCTATTTGTTACCATTACCTGCATTAGATGGGGGAGAATAAGAACACTGAAATGTGACTTTCGGGTGTTGGCAAGCTTATGGTAAGATGCCTGGAAGCTACTGAGTCTACCATGTATTATTTGGAAAATGAATTAAAATGAGTTTATAAATCTTTTCCCTCCTTCAGAAAGGAATTCTATTGAAAAATACACTTGGATAATGTATAGGTAAATCTTTATCGAGACCTCAGTGAGAGGGGTAAGCGTGCTTTTAAGGTTGTATTTTCCTACAACGAGAAAAAGTGTCTGCACTAGTTTCTGTCTCTTACTGGAATCATTGGTGAATGTAGACCTAGACAGAGTTCTAGAAAAGGGCAGCTACGTTTTGTTTCCCATCATGCTTCCCCTCTTTTGGCAGTTTAACACAAGGTAAAGAAAAGTATCCTTGTGTTTAATATTATTGATTTTTTTTTTTTTTTTTTTTTTAATCCCTTGTGGAATTTATCCCATTGCTTCTTGCACCAGAATTAAGTTTCAGAATCCACAGCATTGTATGAAAATATACCTTCCTGTGTTTGCTGTGAATCAGTCACTCATAACTTTGTTTGTTGCACCTCTCTGCTTTCTCTGTGTGGTTGGATTTTATAGACATCTATTTTACTTTATAGACCTTAGTTTTCTGGGTTTTGGGTTGAGGACCCCCAGTCTGGTTTGGTAATTGTAATGTATGACACACGTAACCTTTCTGAGATGCAGACTAGAACTGTACACAATACTGAAGATGCAATCACTCCAAGTGATTTAGAGAGTGGTGTGAAGAGTTTTTCTGGTTTCCATGTTCTTTTCCTAGTAATACCTTTCAGTTTAATTTTGACTTCTACTGAGCACTGAGCTGGTGTTTTCATAGAAATGCATGTGATAACCGCAAGAACTCTTATTGCAAATGCTAATAACTAGTTTGGAGTCACTTTGTACATCACTTTGCATCTATTAACATCAGTCTCCTTTGATGATCCCTGTTTAGTGGGGAAACCACTGATCTACTCATCTTTTCTTGTCATTAACTGAGAGTTAAGCCTTGAGAGGATTTTCCTCTTTCCTTTTATCCAATTCTAGCTTTTATTTTAAGAATTTTTGGTAAGGGATCTTGTCAAATGCTTTTTGAAATTCCAGATAAGCTAGATCTCTACTACATGCTTACTGACTCTGAGTGTTGACAGATTGATAGTGTTTTGAGGCAGATTTCTCTATACAAAAGCTGTAACATTTTAAGTTGTCTGTGGCTTTTTGGCTCTTGCTTCTCCCTCCTTAATTTGCCTACTATGGACGAAAGAGTAGTTCCCTGCATCCTTCCTGGGGTACTTTTGCGATGTTGGTATAGCATCAGTCACCTTCTGCTGCAGAAACAGTTTTAACTGGTAGGTTAGATACCTTAGCTGTAGTTCAACAGCTTCCTACTCTTAATTCCCTTTAAACTTTTATGTAAATAAGATCTGGTTTTGCTGATTTGTTTCTGTTCATTTTATCAGCCTGTGCAACCATATTCTGTGGTAAGGCTCCACTATTCATCCTTGCCTGACCTTTTAAGTTCATGTATACTGTACATTAATTTAGGTTTTTGTGCTGCAGCTGTATCTTCTTTAAGAGATTCTTGCATATATATTATATTTATCTGCTGGCAGTATAGATCTCTGGTAAGCTTCAGCTTCCACACTTCTTCCTTGTTGTTTTAGGGAAAAAAAAATATTATTAATTTTATTTTTACATCTTCAGAAATGCGCTGTGCTTTTCACATCTGTCGTGTCATCCATCTTTTTTTCTCTGTCTGGATACAACTCAAGCTTTTTGGAACACACTTTCAGCTTTTTTGAACTCTTCTTTTACTGCTTGCAAAGTGAAAGTAATTTTATTCTTTAGGTTAATGTGGAATAACTCTCTTTTAAAATACTCAGTACATTACCATTTTCATTAAAGTAGGAGTGCACTTCAGGGGCTTCCTTAGCTGTGCACAGTCCCTATGAACTGTGTTGCTTTAGAAAGGAAAGAAATTGGAATCAGTGGCTTAATGTCCTTTTCTCATTTTAACAAAACTCTTGCTCTTTGATCATGATTCATAAGTAAGATTGTTCCTACTTATGAGGAAGTCTGTACCCACGGACATGGGTTTCCAAAAGGGCAGGTCTGTGCCCAGAAACCTCACTTAAAGCATATTAGTAATTTCCCTTTTACATGCAAAGACATTCTTAATTTCTTCTTTATGACTGTTTTGGTTTTTTTTTAAAGACAATATATACTTAATAAACCTAGGAATTTCCAGTCAAGACTTATTGGTATGTGGTTAGTATATTCCCCAAGTGTCACATGCATCTTGTTTCACAGAGTCTTGCTGCACAGTGTGTGGTGGTTGGTCTTCAGACTCCAGGGAAGCTTTGCTTTCTTATGGACTAGTTTTTCTGAAAGAAAGCCAGAAGAGCTGAGGAACGGGGTGAACGCTGCACCTGTAGTGGCGGCTAGTGTCTTTATCAGCTGAAGAGATTAGTATGTGCCCATAATACTTTGGCTGCATAGTCTGTGTGCTGCAGTGATGTTCACTGATACTTTAAGGCAGTACCCAGATTGCTCTGTAAATGCCTTTACTGACTGTTTTTGTTAGCGGAGCTTGACTTCCAATGCAGTTTTCAATAATGGTAGCCAGTGTAATGCTGTAGCTAGCTACGTAACAGAGCATGTTTCCGTAAAACTTACGGGGGCAAAGAAAGCGATGGGCATGCTTCAGGTAGCAGGCTGTATTTGGTACCATGGCTTTTCCTTGTCTCAGTTTGGCTTATTCTGACATTTAAAATGTTCTTGGACTTGATGTTGATTTAGAAAGGTGGGACTAAGAACTGATCTGTTGTTTAAGCATTTTGTGTCTTTTATGAGCAGGTGCCTCATTGACATGTAGAGAATTACATTCCTTAATTCCCTAAAGCAGGAATAATAGGGGAACAGGAGGGGGGGAAAAAAGGCTCAGGAGCTACAACAGGAAAAAGGATAAACTATTGCTTAGCTGTAAGATGACTGTCTTGGAGGTTCATTGCTAATACAGACACGTAATGAATCTTTAAGCTACGTTTTTAGGAGCCTGGTAGCTGACAAATAAGTAATGTCAAAGGTGATGATCATTTCATCTGCTTTGTACCCTAAGTCCATGTATTGAAATGTAGTTATGAAAGTGTATTAAGTAATACAAGTTGTCTTTCTTCAATGTTCCCCTTCAGGAGGTAAAAAAAGCAGAAAACAGGTGTCTGAAGCAATGTTCTCTATTAATAATAAGAGTTTTTTTGTTGAGATATCTTGTATTTGAGGTGATTTTTTGTAAGTTAAATTTCTGCCAGAAGAAGTGGAAATAGCACAGTATAGCTAAGACAGATACTAAATACGTATGTTGATTGCTCCTCAGAGACATTTTTCTTTGCAGTGGAAGGCGCTTTACTTGCCAAGTGTGTTTCCCAGTCTTTCTCAACTTCAGTAATGTTCTGCTCAAATTAATATTAATTTTGTATTATGTACTAAAGCAATGTCTTGATCAAAGCTGCTCTCTTTGCTAGACCAAATTGGAGAGGGTTGAACAATTGCTTGCTTCTTTATTTAGAAACAGAAGATGAACTGATACTGATAAGACATTTTGAATTTAATACTTCTTAAGAGCAGAGAGATGGATGTGGTGGGAATATCTGTTTTCTGGGAAATGCTGACTCTTTCAGACCCATAATAGAACATTTAAAAATTATTATTGTAAATAAATGTAGTAGAGTTTTCTAAACATCACAAGTTTTTATGAAATAGATCAAAGTGGTGTGTAATTGGAAAACATATGTTGTTGTGTTATATTCCAGCTTAATGTTATAGTTGAAAAAAGTAAGTGGGTGTAATTGATATTTAATACCGATTAAACGTATTTTCTAGGTTTTACTGTCTCTCCTGTGTAGTAAAGCAGTTTAACACTTCTGCATCTTCAGCAATGACATGAATGTACCCAATGTACAAATTCAGCTGTTTCCAGTATCCCAGAAAAATGACTTGAGACAAGCATAAGGGTACTGAGAAGCTGCTTCTTGAGTTACCACACTGAATGTTTAATTCATTTTATGTCAAAGTGTAAAACTGTTTCATTATAGTATTGAGGAGATGTTTGTTTAGCAGCGATATTGAGGCAGTGTGTATGAAATCCCCATTATAAAAGGAAATGTATTTCTGTTTTTTTTTAAAGGTAAAGAGAGTTCTTGAAAAATTATACGAGAATAAAAAAATTGCAAGTGCTACCCACAACATATATGCATACAGGTGAGAGATGAATAGTGATTTATTTTTTGTTTTGTTGTCAGTGTTCTTGAACAAGTGAGTGTAGGACATGAGAAAAGTAAAATCCATCAAAGAAATTCCTTGCTGTTAAATCTTTATGGGAGTAGGTTTCTTATTTGTGCAGTGAATGTTTTAGCCTTTATTTTGAATTTGAGGTCCAGCAAGTAGAACATAAAGTAGGAAAGGTGTTGAGATAGTAAAGCAGCATTAGGAATAAAAAATGGCTAAGCAGATTTGAACATACATTGTTATACTTTGTATAGTATGTGAGCATGGAAATGCTACATTGTCCTGAACTAAATGTGTTTTTACTTGGGCGAAGTAACTTGTTTCCCCCCCCCAACCTTATATTTAGAAATAGCTGAAAATTTTTAGTTGAAATAAGAGTTGAAACAGAAAGCCTGATGCAGACATCTGGCATATGAAGTTTCAGCTGAAATATGATAAATAAAATTCAGGGAAAATGAGAAGCAGGTGAAAATGAGTTTGGCAGTGGCCTGTCTCTGGCAACTTTTGTGAACATAGCTTACGTGAAATGAATTGGTCTTGGTCCAGATAGTGATGCTGGTTTTCTGAGGAATGTGAGTGACACTAAAGGAGCCCCTTTCATTACTGGAGGAACCAGTCATCTGAAAAAGCACGTATAGACACTCATCTGTTCATGTATGTCCTGGTGTGATCCTAATGACACACGAAATGAGAGCAAGTGAAAGCTTACTTTAACCAAAAAGTCTACCTAAGTAAAAGGATTCTATAAAGAGGGGGTTTCTGTTCTTGCTGATGCTGATCTGGCTTCTTTCACTCATACTATCTAAAAATTATGCTTCAAAAAAGCAGCAGAAACATTGCTTCATATTTGTCATCTAGTACCAGAAGCTGCTTTGTCATTGTGTCATGTGCGCATTAACTAAGTTCAGAAGTTATGAAATCAACTGGTAACAAAGAGTAGACCTCTGAGCATTACTTCTGGAAAACTAGACCTGGGCAGCTGTCCTGTATATGAAACAATACACCCCAAAGTCTCAAGGAGTGCCCCCTGAGGTAGGAGATGGCATGGAGAATCTGAAGGCAAATTTCAGTAATAGTTTCACACTGCTGCTGAAATATAGACCTAACTAGTTATTCATAATATTTTTGTCTTTTGTCCAAGTTCTTCCAACTTGTGGGTGTGTACAATAATTTGAACCTGTATCTGATAGAGTTGGTTTCAGCTAGGCGTAATTATTAGGCTAAAAACCTAAGGATTCTTTCATTAGGGACTTTAGACAGATAATGACTCAGGAGTTAATCTGAAGTAGCTAAAGTCTATGTAAAAGCTTCTCAAAACTTGTTCTACTATGCAGATAAGTATTTGTGGTTTACCCTAAGCCTCATCCTGTTTTTATGTAAATGTCCTTAGTAGAGAAGTAGAATTGATACATGTGCATATGAAAGATCTCTGAGACTGCGTTAATCCTGTCAAATGTTAGTTGATTTACGTTTTATGTTAATTTTTTTCCTTTTTTTTTTTAAATTTTATTTTTAAGAATATACTGTGAAGATAAGCAGACATTCTTACAGGATTGTGAAGATGATGGGGAGACAGCAGCAGGTGGCCGTCTTCTTCATCTTATGCAGGTTATAGAAATTAATGTTTGACTTCTGGAAGTCTTGAACAGATTTTAAAAATCACTACACTGTAAATAAACTTGTAGAAGATTATTTTAATTCTTGCACTGCTCGTAGCCAGATAGATGATTGCTGTCTCAGAGGTGAAAGAAAAAACACAACTGTTGCATACATGTAGTAAATTGGAATTTCCAAGTCTTGCATCGTAGAAATAAATAGTGTTTCACAGGTGGTAGTAACAGTTTGAATGGTTTAAAATGTGTAAGCTTTGATTCCTATGGTTACTATGTGATGTAAGGTATGTAGAAAATGAAGACTGGAAGAAGCTGACAGAATATAACCGCTGACCTGTGCACAGCCTTCTGTTTCCTTAAATATTGGTAATAAAAAGACACTTATATTTGAACTTTCGGAGTAGAGCTTCAAATGCCAAAGGTAGTAGGAGTGAAGGAGTTAAGTTGTTTTGATCATTTAATCTGCTTCTGTGTGCTGTTTTCAGTTCTGGGTCCTTAGCCCTCGTACTCACATATATTTTAGTTTTCAAGCGTTGAAATAATATTCCCTCTGCAAAGTTGCTACTAAATGTGAATTGAGATTGATACATTTTGATTCACTGGCATGATGCAAGCCCTAGTAAAATCATAAATAAAATATCATAACTACAGGGACAGCTGGGTACATCTTACACAGTGCCTCAAGTCACTTAGCTGTATCAGCACACTAATTACTGTTTTTAATTTTGATTTTTAGATTGATGTCCCGTTCACAACAGGGGTTTTCTTTTCCCATCTTTTGCTTGCTTCTATATTCTGTTGTTGTACTCCTAAGCTGGAGACTATTTTAAAGCTTTTATTTTTAATTTCAAAGCATTCTTTTTTTTCCTGAAAAAAAAAATTGATGGAAATATTTTGACATTTTAAATTTAGAACTTTTTGAAACTTCCTAGGCCACTCAAACCTGACTTGGGAAGGAAAACTTACATTATGTAATATATGCAAGTATACATGGTAAAGTGAAAACATCATTGTAATAAAAACAGTGTGAAGAAACAACTTTGCGGTTACTGTACCTTCATTTCTTCTGAGCTTACCAGCTTTTCTCAGCACACTAATGTATACTTTTGAAAGCTGCCAGACTTACAGTGTCTAGGCACATAACATGCCATAAAAATCCGGTTTAGAAAGTGAAACATGAATTTTCCCCTTTCAAATGTGAATGTGTTAATCGTATGGATCATCTCTCTCCCTCTGTAGTCCTTGTTACTGGGAATATGTTTGTTTTGGCAGAGTACTGCTGCAAGGGTCAGAAAAGTACAATTTTCACCTGTAGGAAAGATTAAAACAGTTTATGGGCTGATTTTTAGGTGTTCATAGGTCTCATAGTTTTTCTGTTTAAGCTCTTATGACATGATATGGGCATGAAAATTAGGTGGTTTAATACACTTATTGTGGCTGTACTTACAGTTCTTTTGCAGTAGAAATCTTATCTCATTTCAGATGAACCTAGCACTTCAGCCAAGATAGCACCTTCCGGTTACAAGAAACTGTATTTCTAACAGTTAGAGTTAAAAAATTTCCCAACTATGTTTGCCATCCTGTTTACTGTGAACAGTTGCTATACGTAGACTTCGTGGCTGATATGTAAATGTAGAGTAGAAAATGCCTGTCACAAAACCTGCCCAAATCCTTCTTTCTTTTTTTCCGTTAACCTTTACATTTTATAATTCTAAGAATATTTCTGTTTTCACAAACAATCATAGAATCTTCTAATAGTATTGTTCAAATTAGTCGAATAGTACATATTTTTATCCTTAATGGACATGACGAATGGTCACTAACAGGCTCTATTCATAGCTAGCTCTTCAGGGATTTTTCTCACCTCCACCAAACCACCCTGATATCTTGCAGACCACAGTGTTTTTGCTCAGCCCCATGCAAATAAAGCTGTATGTGCTCTCTCTGGCTCCAAGCCATCTGTGTGCACTAGTGTAGGACTGCATAAGACTTGAGAGGAAGCTGTTTGTAAGCGAAGACCTTCCACAGAGATTTCAGGTGCCTTCGTTGGGGGGACAAACTGAGGATTGTGGTCACTAACCATGCAGGACTAATTTGAGCAGAGATACCAAGTGGTGATTGTCACTACACGTTTCCATGCAGTCATGTCTGCCTTGTATTTTGACAGGAAGTGTGTTTCTCTCTGGTGCTTAGTCAGTTGGCATTCCCTGTGTTACTGGTTACTGGTGATGGGGAGGTCTTGAGGAGGGAATTGCTGTATGGCAGAATAAATGCTAGTTTTTAAGTGTGGTCAGATCACATTTAGATTTTCTGGAAAGTAAAGCCATTGAAGGCCTTCCATGTTTCTTGCCTTTAATTTCAGTAAAAGAAGTTGTAAAAGAAGTTGTCACTTCTGTTTAACTCTCTTGTTTCTGCACAGAGCAGCAGTACTACCTTATGGCATTTTAGGTATCGTGTGTATAGTGCCTGTCCCTTGGTTGCTATTAGCCTCATCCACTAACACTTCTGAAAATGTGGATAGACAATCTGCTTAATGACAGAGGTTCTTGGGAAATAATAGTTCATCGCATCAAAGAATAATAAACATAACTCAGTAATTTTCACTTTAAGTAATACCTGAAGCTTTTGACACATGGATGATCAACTATAGTGTGCATGAGGTAGCTTTGTGCCCTTTCTGAGAGATGTATTGCCTCATTTTACTTTGAATTTGCCCTTGGCTTGGAGCTTGGAGAGGGAAACTTACCACAACTGCTGGCTTGTCATTGTTACCCTCTGATAACATGTGGGTGATACAACCCTGACTGTAAGTTCTTAAAAATGCAAGATAGTAGACTTTTTGTATTTGTTTAAAATTGGTGTCAACGGTAAAACTAGTTCAATTAAAAAATAACAACTTTTCTTTCTTTCTTTCTTTTTTTCTCATTTTAAACAGATTTTGAACGTCCACAATGTGTTAGTTGTGGTATCCCGCTGGTATGGAGGTATTCTCTTAGGACCAGATCGTTTTAAACACATAAACAATTGTGCAAGAAATGTGCTTGTGGAATACGACTATGTACCTTCAGTGGTAAGTTTCTGCCACTTAGAATGAAGGCATTTTTATGTGAACTTGTGTAAATTGTCACTGTTAAGATGAAGCCAGAAGATGTGTCATCCTCTGGTTTCTTTGATGCGCCGATAGCATGCATAGCATCAGTGCAAAGACTCACGAAGAACTTCCAAAGAAGTTGGTGACCTCGTTTGTAAGTGTGAGGTGTGCAGTAGGGAGTGGCAGCAGTTGAGGACATTGATCCAGAACACAGATTTGAGGGTTGGGGGAGGATGGAAAGGGGAAATGCCTCTTTCTGTGTTTTCAGAAAACTGGAAGCTGCCGCTTCTCGTCCTTCCCTCTGCCACCAGTTCTAGCGAGTAGGCAGGCGGAGCTTGGGAATCACTGTGGCTAGTAGGCATTTTGAAAATTCAGAGCTTTGTTAGACCCAAGGAAGTTTTCAGAATCACAGATGATAGACACCATTTAAAAAAAATCTAGACTAGAAGAATTCAAAAAAGTAACATTAACTGTTACAGAAAAGGTTACGGGGAAATGTTTCAAGGGAGCTTAAATAACTCGGGAGATGCAGTTCTGAATGTCTTTAAATGACATTTTATCTCTTAAGGGACTTTGGTTATTTAATCATCTAATATTGCTGGTTTTCAGTATTTCTTTTCTTCATCCTCAGAAGAGCACATTAGATACGTGTGTGTACGTTACAGTGTGTAATTGCTAGCAATAGAAAGTTTAAGACAGTAGGAAATAATTACTGATGGATACTTGAGAAAGTATGCAACTGTCAGTTTTCCTTTTTACATGAAAGTATCTGAGATTGCTGTGGCTGAAAGCTGAGCATTCTTCTTCATTCCTCGCCCTGCACTCTTCAGTTACTTGCTTTTTCCATTAGAGGTGCTTGTATATACTTACTGATTTACCACCTTGGCAGTTTATCAATGTTCTCTTATTTGAAAGTGTTGCTCATAAAATAAAAGGAAACTAACAAGATTTTTGAGCATTTTGTCCTCACGAGAAGGTTTAGTACCAAAGTTACTACTTTTTTTTTTTTTCCTTTCTTATTTTTAACAACTTAAATCAGACTGTATGTCTTTATTGTGTATTATTTGTTGCCAGTGTCCATCAGAAAAATAACAGATGGAGCTTATGGTAATTATTATTCTACTACCGTAGATGTAGCTCTTGGAAAAAGTATTTTTTTTAGCTAACTCTTTTCAGAATAGCAGAGTTCAAACGTCCTGTTAGGGTCCATTTCCCTCCCATGTGCAAGAGGTAGAAGGGAGTAGATTAAAATGTCCCAGGCTCTGTCAGATGTGGTGGCAGATTCCGTCACCATTTGGGGGAGCACTGGCCATGAATGCCTACTGAAGAAGTCTTGGTTTTCAGAATTGACAGTCAAGGTAAACTGTGCATTACAGTGTTTATCCAGCAAGACTGGCAAAATTTTGTTTTTCCCAGTGTAGGTTTGTTTCACTTAGGGGAGCGGTTTCAGTGTAGGGGTGTACAGCATGTCTCTTGATAAGGCCCCATCCACACCAGAAGGAGTTCTGCCGTGTAGTGTGGAAGTATGCCTGTGCCGGTAACCTCTTCCTTGGGTGGAAATGGCTTAGATTATTTTTACGTTATATGCTTCTGTTGGCATAGCTGTCTATAACTTTATCATTGCTGAAGGCAGAAGTTTCTAAATAGCAAGGTAAGCAGATAAGCCCTGGTTAGTGAAACTGAGTGGATAAATATTATACAACTCAAAACTTCCATAAATCCCATTGTTCATATTAAAACTAAGTCTCATGGGTGACCTTGAGAGAATACTCATGGTATAAAAGAATCTTGTTTCAATTTTGAAATGCCTGTTCTTCATTTCAGGAAGAATCATCTAAACAAGCAGGAAAGAGCAAAAAGATAAGAAAGGACAACAAGAAAAGAACAGAACACTAATTTATTTTTGAAAACTATAAAAGATAATTTTGCACATATTTATACAGAGACAACATGGACATTATTGCCTTATCCAATACAACGGACATTTTGTATTCAAAAGTGAATTCAGTAAAGCTATAGATATATTTTCATCTCGTTCTGTGGTTTCTTCTGCTGTTCTGAAGTAGAGCTTAGACATAAGTTTTCTGTATTCTTATACATTCTCGCTCCTTGTTATGAGGGCATTGCAACATCTGGGACCATTTCCTCATGCCACCCCCTCCCACTGAACGATGGTGGACTAAAATGTGGATTACTGACCTTCTCCATTCCTGGGTTTGAACTCAAATGCCTGTTTGTAATAGTGATTGAATTCCATAGCTTGTTATGGTAAGGGTGAGACTGGAGTCACTCATGGACCAGGTCACTTACAAAGTTTTAGATTTTCTGTACCTAAAAGGAAAGCGTGTGGCCCAGTGCTGTATGGCCTTGGGGAGCCTGGTCCTGCTTGTGCAGTTCTTGGTCGTGCAAGACAGGGCCTGCTTGGTGACATGAGAAAGACTGAACATGGGTGATGAACTAAGAAATGTGAAGAAATTACTTCAGAATTTCTTTGAGGATTGTTCTGTGACTGTCGGGACTCCAGGAGCCTGTTGAAAATCTGAGGATTAAGTATTGTATAATTAAAGGAACCAGTGATTTCAGCAAAGAATATGGGGGTTTTGAAATTGGCCTGCTACAGCTAGTAGTGAACATTAGTAAACATTCTGAAGTGACTTCTGTTGGTGTAGAGTGCAAAAAACCCCAAGTGTTAACAATACAATCACAAACACTTGAATTTTCTACTCTTTTATTAATAGTTACCAGATGTTTCTCTAATGCATTGCAGAAAAATTATCAGACCTTTTGTCAGTTAATTGTCATATTGCTATTTAGATGAGATTTAAGTATTTTTTTTGTCATTCCCTTGGTATCTTCCATTTGGGGAGGACGGACTTTAATGATCTATTGTGTGTTTTTTTCTTTTTTTCTCAGGTTAATTTCTAAACTTTGTGATCCATTAATTACTAGTTGTGTCACAGGTGCTTTCTTAGGTCAGGTACACCTTATGTAGTTTGCTCATATAGTAATGTCAGGGCCGTGACTGTTTTTAAGGACATTTCTCTAGTGACACTTACAAAATCAGCTTTAAACTACGTAAGACTAGCTTATTTGACCACCGGTTGGGTTTACATCTTTTTGCCAACATGTTCACTGAACTGTTTGTTATAGTTCTCCAGCATGGGTACCCCAGAAAACCTTTCCCAAGTCAAACTTCATCTAATTAAAGTAACTACTCCAGAGTTTGATATACAACATATTTCTTAACAATTTCAGTAGCTTAAAAAGTATCACTAAAATACGTGATTTAAAAAAAAATAAAATAAATTAACCTCCAATTGCCTGGCAGCTAGGTCCTGCATTGGTTTATGCACAGTTCTATGCAGTTACGTTGCCTGGTCTGCATAGTAAAGCTCTTATGGCTTCAGCCTTAGCGTCTGTCCTTGTGATGGTAGGGTGGTGTTTCTCCTAGGGAAGGAGATCCCTCGGTTACACTATGTAGTAGTCTTGCAGTTGTTGGGTCATACAAGTGTTTGTTATTCACAGTTTGTCAGTCTTATGACTAGACTCTTAAAGTAAAAATTTTGCCATTCACTTCCAGTACCTTATTGATTTAAGTATTCCAAAGTTTCTCTTGCTTTTATGAAAGGCTGAGGTTGTAGCAATTGCTTAATGTGGGAAGCAGGTGAATTGCGAGAAGTTCTGCTGCAGCTGCCCAAGGTGCAGGTTCACTTCATGGTAATGCACGTTCTTTTCCCAAAGAGCATCCTTTAAGCCTTGAACACTCAGAATCCATGAGTGATTCTGAACTTTTGGGTGCTGAGTCTGAGGTATGTGAAAGCTAGGTGGTTGTAATTACTGGGTTTGTGGGGTTTTTTTTGGTGGTTTTTTTTTTTTTTTCAGAAAGTGCAGATCCTTGTCCCCAAGAATGTCATGTTTCAGTGTTGTATGTTAGCAAAAACTAAAACCCCAAAATGGAAGAAAAAAGTTGTTGTTAACCACTTGCTGCTTAAATGAAATAGACCATATAGGTCACCCAATCAGTGAGAAAAATTAATCCCCTATCCCTTAAAATGGCCGGAAACAGACCATCGAAGTGGAAATATGTTTGTATTTTCACACTGTTTCTTTCAGAGAGAAAGTGACGTGCTGGCTAGCTGTCTTGTGGACACTTTTGGTTAGAGAAGTTGCGTTCTTTTCCTATTTTTGTTTGTAAGTGTTTCCTAAGCTTAAACTTCCTTTATTCTAAGAACAAATATTCATGTGGCTCTCTAGAAGAGTTTTGCAACGCTGGACTTAGTCCTTTCTTTTGAAAGCGATGCTTCAGCGTACCTCGTGACCTAAAGAACCTGTGATTCTTGCTCTTTGATTATTAGCTGTGCTTCAAGGAGGCCGTATCCCATCACTTATCATAGAATCATAGAACAGTTTCAGTTGGAAGAGACCTTCGAGGTCATCAGCTCCAATCTTAATCGAATACGATTGTTTCTGCTTTGTCATGCAGAAGGTGTCAGAGCAGCAGTGGTCATTACGTGTCAGGATCAAAAACTTCGTGCTGATGCAGCAGTTGAAGTCCTTGAGGTGTCAGGAGTGTTTTCACACTGGGACTGGTAACCAAAGGACACAAATAACCTATTCTGCATGTAGAGCAGAGGAGCAGCAGACACATGGAAAGTATTTTGATCCTCACATTTTCATCACTGCCTATGATGCATTTGGCTTGTTAACAAGGAAATCAAGTACCAAAATTCTTTAGAAATTGGGCTATAAAACAAAATGTTTCTCTTAGTGGAGAGCAGAGGTCCTCCAGAATCTGATAAAGAAAACAAGTCAGCCTACTCTCACAAGCAGCTGGCTTTCTTCCCAAGTTGCTTGTGTTCTGAGGCCATGAGCCATTGCTCCAAAAAAATATGCAGTTACCCTAAAAAAAAAAAAAAAAAAAAAAAAAGAAAAAAAAGAAAAAAAAAGAAAAGCAACTCTTGAGTTCATAATATTTGTGGAAGTTACAGGTTCCTGTAGCCTAACCTTGGATGGACTGGTAGCTCTGATGAAGTTTGAGTGTGCTGAAGGACGTGCTTGTGAAGTATGTTACTCTGAAGCCAGTTTATTGCTCTTGAACAGACTGGAAGTACTGAAGAAGGTGGAAAGGAATTAGGTAACTATATACTCCTAGGGAGCACTCTAGGATTCAAGCCATTTGGCAAGGTCACCTGTTTCTCACGAGAAACAGTGAAGCTGCCAAGTCTCCTCTTGAGACTGAAGAGTATATGGCTAGAGTGCTCAGCTGGGATGAGTCCTGTCTTCAGCTTGATTTGGGAGACTGAAATCTGGCTTTGTTGCTTCCCAAACGAGTTATCTTAACTAGTAGACTAAAGGTACTTTGGAGAGTGTATCTTTCTCTTCCACTGACATACTTTATCAATTCGTGCAGAATTTTCCTCAGGTTTTGAGAAGCGTGCTAAGCATTACCTTCCTCTCAGAGCTGAGGAAACTGAAGCAAAGCGATGAGGTACAGACAAAAGTTACAAGTGGGGTCCTTGGAAATTTGTGCTAAACTTTATTATACTTAAGCTGATGTCTTAATTCTTGCAGCAGTAAATAAAAATATCAAAGGCAGGCAGGGAATTGGAAGTGATACTGTATTTCTTATCTTAATTGTTTAGATTCTTCTCTGTATCTTACCTGAACAAGGTATAGCCCAGCTGTTATATATGTGTGTACTAAACCAATGATAATTTCTTGCATGCTATGAAAGTGAGGATGTGCTCATTGTATCTTGGAAGCCATTGTGTGGGCAGCCTCCTTATTTAGTACTCACAATACTCTTCTAATTCAGTTCCTCAGCACTGAAGATTTTTGGGTTAAGATACAGTGAGACCCTTTCTATTTATACTTTGTAAAGCAGCCTGAAGGAGAAGAAAAGCATCCACAACGTTATACTCGCTTCTGCAAGGAGCTATACGCGCACCAATCTAAGGCACAGTAGTTGCAAAATACATCAGTAACTTAACTGCCACTGTAGCTTTAAGTATTTTACCATAGATTCTCACTGAAGAAAAAAATGCATAAAACTTGAGTGAGGGCTTTGCTATTAAGAGGATCCAGTTTTAACTCCAATTGCTACTCAACAGTGGCTCTGAGCCACATATTGTGTGTTTTTTACAAAACGATATTCTTTTGGAACACAGTTTAGGTCTATGATTTCTGCTTTGATGAGATTTTTGCAGCCTTTTGGCCCTCATGGGGCTTTCAGGAGCTTGTTAACAGATTTTTTTTTTTTTTTTTTTTTAATTCTGAGACTGGTGGCTGTGCGTTGATTAATCATAGACGCCAGGCTGTAGAAAGCCTGCCAGTTCAAGCTGGCATTTCTGGTCATTCAGGGCCAAGTTAGGAGTCAGAAGTATATCTGAAAGTTTCTAGTAGGAAAAAATACTGAAGAGCTTGGATCTTCTCCCCTCTTCTGCAGTTGAAAAGAGGGGAGTGTTACTGGGATGGGGAGACCCCTTCCTGACTGAGGGCAAGCAGCCCAATGTCTGAAAGAAAAACTTTCACGTACTTCCCTCTAGACTCAGTGCAGTTTCTGAGCACCCGCTGATGAAGGTTTGTAGCAGGTATATGGTGTGCGTGAGCTGCCATAGGATCAGGGCTGCTTGCCAAGGGGTTGTCACTTTGAATGCGCAGGAATGAGCTGTTGCTCCCGTGACAGGGTGAGACCAGTCAAAAAGGACTGGTTGCATTAGGTATGAGGAAAGAAAAAGTGTAATTGGAACATGGTAACAGTTTGTAGAGGATCCATGATTTGGCAGAATCCATGGCAATTTCCCTGGGTTTGAATGCAGGGGGGCAATCACAGAAGGTCTGTTACCCTCCTTGGAGGCCTATAGGAGCCCGGTGATGTCTTTTATTATCAATAAAATGCAGAAACAGAAACTCTTGGGGTAAGAAGGTGACTGCTTAGAAGATGAAGTGAAAATAAAATGATTGAATGTCACTTCTGGTACCATATTGGCACCTTGAGCCACAAATCACTGAAGGCTTGGGGAGCACACCAGCAG